CCTGAAGAAATCCCAGAACCATCTGTCGTCGCGGAAGACGACCCAGAACAGGAACCTGATGAAGAAATGGATGTAGAGCCTGAAGAGGACTTTGATGACGCAGTTCCAGAAGCAATCGCACAGGAACGTCGTCCCGTCTTCCTTACCGGCCAGTCTTTGAACATCGATCCTGAACTACAACTTGCACGTACCGCCATGCAGCCATCCTACTATTCTGGAAAGCGAAATGCCCATTGCATTGACGCGAACATGACCGCTCTGTCGTACATGGCGTACGTGGTATGCCGATCTATCTACAAAGCTTGGTCAGGATTCGCAAAGTGGGCGACTATGCCGTTGTTTCAGATGAGGGAAAGTTTCGCGCTTGGCCAACGCTATGATGTGCTTGGAAAGTGGGGATCTTTGGCAGCAGTGGATAAGGAAACAGGTGTCAGCAGGGACGTGACTGATGAGGAGATCATTCGCTTTGCGAAGGAACCTGAGAACCTCAAACAGTATGATCCCAACGGGACTTACACCTTGAAGCGCTTCCGGACGAACCAGATGCTTTCTTTACTTGTACGCGGAGCCAACATGATGGGAATTGGCAGGGACAACTTCAGCCCTACTACTTACTTGAAGAGCGACAGGGATGAAGATGTAAAGGCAATGCACTTTTGCTGCCTGAACGTCCTATGCGAGGTGATCCCAATGGTGACGGGACACCAACAATTCTCAGTGCTACGACCAACGCCAACTGGACCGGTGGACTTCTTGTACATCGACCCCGTCGGTATTCTGCTGACTCATTCTGATCAGTCAGTCCAGACCATTGCCTTGCTGGTGGACCACAGTGTTCAAATGCCTGCGCATTTCATGGACAGATTGAACAGATCCAAGACTGAGAGACAGCAAAACCCGACGACAAGGCGTACGGAAGCCCTACATCACATTTCGGCCGCTGACTATCTTCCTCCAGGTGGTACTTCCATCCTGGACACGCCTGTCACTACGGAGGAACGTGAAAGCGCTTCTTCATCCAAGGGACCTTCAAAAGGGCGTGGAAGAACCGGAGGCGAGCAACATGGTGGCTGGAACACCAATTCCTACCACGACTACATCGCCGCCAAAGGCCGAAACAAAGGCAAGGACAAGGGAAAGCCAAGGAACCCATATCCAGAGGAGAACCTCCGGCCCTGGGAACGCGATCCTACGTCAACGCGAAGATGGTGGCGAGACAACGCCTGATCTTCATCGCCTATCAGTTCGTGACCTCTGAGCTTCGCCTGTGGAATGCCATCGCGAATGCTTCTTTCTTCGGTGACGCCTGATTCGTTTGTCATTTCAGGGGATCGTTACTGACGTAGATGAGTGTCACAACGTTTCTAATTGGGATACAAAGCTCTGATTTTCAATGTCAAAGTTGCGGCGGAATTTTCTTCTGTCCTATCGTGCCATCTTCCGGGTGAGCAGCGTCGGAGACGCAACTCATGGGGGGTGCGAACGGACTGCGATGCCTTGTCAAGTTCTAAGGTGTCACTATAAGAGCTGTGAGCAAGACCGTGTAAAGTGCAAGAGAAGGGGGCACGCTACGCGTCCCTCGACTCTAGGGGGCATGCTACGCATCCCTCATCTTTACCTTTCTATGTGACCGCCAACGCAACGTTTGGCTCAAGTCAATGCCCATAGCTAAGTGCTATATGTGTCTTCTATCCTGAGCAATCAGAGCTATCCCGTTGCACAGACGAACCGCCGCCGGCAGTGAGTGCAAAAGGAACGGCCGCCGGTTCTGCCTGCATTGGATCGCACGTGTGGAAGTAAGAGGGAGAGACAGGGTCCAGTCTGTGGAGAGTGCTAGCCAGCCACACCTACATTCATTACAGCTCTGGTGGGGAGAGCAGCAACCAAGTCGAGATCAATCCCCCACGCACCAGTCCTTGCCTCTGTTGCATAAGTCAACACGATTTGCCTGTCTCAGGCCTTGCCTGCCGACTTCAGCCGCCCAGTGCGTATCACACAAGCACATCAGTTCAGTTCGACTAGCCTCGCTCGCTCAGGTTCCACTAACTCCTCGACGTCTGCCGGTTCCCCTAGGCCCGTCCACGCCTTCGTCGACATCGAGAACGTCCATGGGCCCAGAAGTCTCACCCTGCCAACCTGGTCCCACTGCTGCCTTCCGACTGCCTCAGTTCGGAAGTTCGCCCGGCCGACTGCCTTGTCCAGCCGTTTCGATTAGCCCAACACATTGCTCACGAGCTAATCACGGCCTCTCGCTACATACTCCGTCGTAATATGCCTCGGAGATATTAGCTTCAATTCGGACACATAGCCCATTGTGTTTCACTGCATTTCTCACAAACCCTAGTCGGGGGTTTTCCGGCCTGCCTATGCATCTGCCTTCAGGTGCTTAGGCCCCTCCGTCTAGCCGCATTGCATATAGATCCAACGCGGTTAAAAGGAGAGCTGATGTGCTAGAGCAGTGCGAGCCTATCTCAAACTGTAATTTTTGTGAAGTGCAGCGCCAGGTGGATACGTGTACAATCGGACTCGGACCATCCTTCAGCATGAAGGCCAGAACACGTTCACAGCTTAAGTGCCGGGATGGCAAGAAAGGCTGTGCGGCATGCGGTTGCGAGGGCAGTGAGCATAAGAGGTGTTGCAAGAAGAAACGCAAACGCACAAACGCAAATCCACAGCGCTTCCGCGGAGAAATGTGGTGGGTTCGGTGCAGCTTGGTCGCATATCGGCAGGCGGTGAAATTCGACAGAAGAGTGTTTCGCTGATGTTATCAAAAAGCACTTTGTGCGCAGTTCGAAAGCTGCGTTCACAGGTCAAAGCCGCTTTCGCAACTTCGAGAATTTCAGTTATGTTGGTTGTACTATTTGTTGGCACCAGCTTTTAATGCCAGTTTTTGATGGGATTTGGCATTTTTTACATGATGGGGCCACCTTGGCGGAATATTTTCGTTTATTCTCATATAAAAATATGAAATGCCAGACGTGACTTGTTCATGACAACCGGCATCGCGAGCAACACCATTTGGCCCATGTTGCACGGGAGATGGCCGTTAGTTATTCCTGAGAAAGCTTTGGTGGGTCGTTGTCCAAGCAACGAGCTTACGGGGGTCAGTGTGCTCCGATTGTCACGACATCCGCGATAGCAGTGTCGGTATAAGGTAGCCAAACATGAGGAATCAATAAAGCAATCTTGACATGGGGTCCAACTTGGGGTGCAGCCAATGCGTCACCAGTGTTTGCCTCAGTGAGTCGCAGGTCTTTGACAGGTACAATGCGCAAATCTTGGATTTCTTGGCTGCTCATGTTTTGGAAGGCCGTGAACACGAAGGTCCAACAACAAGGCCGCACTCTTTGGTTTTGGACGGAAACATCCGTTGCATGTCGCCCCCTGTGTGATGAGGAAAACTTGTTGTCTGTGTTGTTGCTGTTGTCGTCGTTGGTGCTTTGCGCTGGTGGTGGTGGTCGACGTGTATCTCATCGTTGTTGTCGTCGTCATTCGTAGTCGTGTTAAGCGTTTCCATGCCCATTTTCGCGGCTGTGTTGAGGGCATACCTCATGAGGTTCAGTGGGGCAATTAGCATGACGAGCGGAATGCTGGCCGCGGATTGTGTCGTCTTCTGCACAACCAGTACATGCCGTTATCTTGAGACACAGGTGCACCGACAATCCATGGTCGAAGTCATCAAGCACTGTGAATGCCGCCGACATGTTCCTCATCGGCAAGAAGTGATGGATGTCCGGATCAGCGACTTAGAGGTGGATCAGATGCGGCCACTCACGCGGTTCTGTTGCGCACAGTGATGACACCGCACTTGCATGCAAAGCAATTGTCGGACTTTGAGAGAAGCTGTGTGCAAACAGGCGATGCTAAGCTTGTTTTAGTGAGATTTGTTTTGAAGTTGTTCTCTGAGCACAACACAGGAACTTGGTCCATGATTGCGACGGCAATCGCCAGGCTGCTTTCGTGTCGGAAGCACGAACTTGGTCGTAGATGTCACAGAGCGATGGAAGGCTTTCGGTGCAACACAGGCTTCCGCAGGAAAACTTGTGAATTTACGAGACTGGACATGTGCTGCCAAGACTATCGGTAAGATGCAAGGTGCGTCTTGGTTGCCTGCAAGTATGATATCAGGATTCAGCATCGTCGCGTCAGAAGACGCCTGCTCATGAACGCACATGTGCAAATTAATTGCTCCTGTCCAGGTCCATGCAGCATCACCGCCAGCAGTGACATGTCGCTCCAGGACCACAGATGTTCTCTACGCCGGCACATCCTCAGTGCACGGCGGGGTATCGTTTCGCGTGCAGCCGCATTGTAACTGCCAGGTCTTGCACCCTGATGTGTAGCAAAGGCTGGCTTTCCTTTCACGGAGACACAGTTCATTTAAGTCTGAGGACACGACAACACGTCGAGTCGCCTCGAGCCCCTTCTGCTGTGGCGAATTCAGAGGCACAGATGCAAAGGTCTGATTTGCTTTGCGAGCAAAGGCTGATGCTTCGTGGCTTTAGCCTTCAGGACAAGTTGCAGGAGTTGCAGGTGCTGATGGAACTGCCGGACGGGACCTTGCTCGAGGTCCGTCCGCCGTTGAACAGTCTTTAAAGCATACTGCGGGTGAGCTTCGAACCCGTGGATTTCAGGAGTTCGTGTATCGGAAGTCCTGTGTTTCTACTCGGCTGTAGTGCGCATACTTGCAACCCGTGCGCGACTTCGACAGCATCTGCCATCATCCGAGACTGCCCAAGTCTAGCCAGATGGTTGTGTTGAATTGGCATGGGAAGCACTGTCGAATCCCCAGTTTGCAGTGTGCTGCTAGTTGACCGCCTTTTGGGATCTCGGGTCATGTCCTGTGTCCCCCCCTCCTCCCATTGGCCCAATATCTTGAAGGCTTATCCATCCAGCCCGCCGTCCCCATGACCCTCTCGAGACGTCCTTGCCCGCTACGGCATGCCAAAAGTCACCAAAGGAGGAGACCATTGGCTCGAATCTGCCAAGTATCAGTGCACATGTGCCTGCATGTTTGTACATGTGCACATGCTAGCTACCAACTTTTGCAGGCAGATCGCCTGGCAACCGGCAATGGCATCCTGCGACATGCCAACGGTCAGCTCCTCGTATAGGGCGTAGACAGAGCCATGTCCGTTCGGCACGGCATATCTCTGACTTTGCAGCTTATGAGATTTGTGTGCCAGTTGATGGCGGATGTGATTGTCCGTCAGCTCGTCTTGGAGTAGTCGCTTTCCTTCAGCCCCAATGGCATTGTCCTCTCTGTGTCCCTTCCAACTTCGCAGCGCACTCAGGTAGCTTCTATGATGGGGAGTGGTCTGCCGGGCAAGCAACCGGCTTCGGTCGCTTCACACACACGGACTGGGTTACACCAAGCGTCAGCATTGGTCACTTTCCGGTGAGTTCGAGCCTAGTAGCCTAATGTTTCTTTCATCCTTCCAAGAATTCCCTTTGGCTGACATAGAACCCTGCTTTCGGCGGTACATTGCGGTGCGACGCAACGGACCCTCGCTTCGGCAGGATGGCTCCACCTACGAGGGTCAATGGTGTGGAAATCAACAGGTGTGTGTGCGTGTACTGGGCGGTGCGGGTGGAGCTATGCGATTGAGTGATTGAGTTGGCCGTGATGTACAGCACACCTGAAAACATCCTGAAAGCTTCACGTCACAGCCCTGAAGCAAATCGAATTGGATCATCAGGAGAACTGGAATTCTAGCCCACGACTTATATGACTTAAAAGCAAGAAAAGGTCCTCCCTTTCCTGTCGTTGGCTCTTGGAGAGGCTGAAGTCATCCCTTTCAATTTCCTTGCAGTTTTCCCGACTCTCTCGTGATGTGAAACATAACGTCATGTAGAGTCATCTTCAAGTCAGGTGGCACGGACTGTAGCTTTCCAGCTGTAGGTGTGTTTTTTCCTTGCCGCCGGTGAAATGGGCAACTCTTTGCGATGGCCGTGGCATCAGGGGGGCACTGGAGGCTCTGCTGCCTTTACGCGGCGTTGTTGTCGGCGTCGCAGACTGGAGCACCTCACTGTGAAGGCGGGCAGTCCGTGCACTAATTACCATTGGTAGGCCTCCAATTGGGAGGTTGACTGTCGTGCAGTCCAAGTGTGGCTGTCTGCAGGTCACTTCTGGGCGCGCTGATGTGCTCGTGCCGCGGAATGCGACTCCTGGGCTCACAAAAGTGGTATTGAAGGACGTGCTTCCATACATGCAGCGTGGCTTGAACGGCCAGAGCAAGACTCTTGTCTCCCCCAAAATCCTGCCCCTGAATTATGTGTTCGAATTTCCGGCACGGTCAATCTGTGCTTAACACCCGAAGATTTGTTGTAGCTTCATGCTGAGATTCAGTAACATTGCGCCTGACTACATGCCTGACTACTCCAAAGCACTCTGTAAATTCTCTGCAGGTCCGTGGATTGAGCGTCCCCAATCCATATCACGACAAACTGGAAAGGTCTTCGTTGGGCAGTGCCTTCCAGAATGTCCACTGCCCCCCTGCAGTAATCTCTACACTCTACACATGCAGAATCCTGAACATGGCTCTCTACCTTCGTAGTATCCTTGGTGACAGGAGTTACACACACACACATGCAGACGCCTGTCACACATGCACAGGCACACACACACACACACATGCACACTTTGGATCTTGCCACATTCCCTTTTGCAGGACATCGGCCAGATATGTGGTTTTGTTCTTTTTGGAAGGCATCCGCTCATAAGGTCCTAGACTTCGCCCGTGCTCACGGCCTGCAGGACCAGGGGAAGATCTCTGCATTCCCTTTGCCCAAGGAGGCTGCTCCAGGCAGGTTGTGAAATCGGTTGGGTTGGAGGAGCTCCAAGCCTGTATAGGCTGCGCCGCGGTTCGTGACCTTTCCAATTGGGGTTGTCGGTGAAAAGCTCGCAGCACAGCCTGCCTATCACAAGCTCCTGGAATCTTGGAGTTTGGTTTTGCAGTCCAAACAAACTTGCCAGGTGATGTCTTGCGCATAGCCTTCCAGAAGGACCAGGGCTGGCGTTGTGTGGTTGTACGGCCCAGAGAAGCCAGGCGAGGCTACGTGTTTTCGCGTTGCCATGTAGATCGGTTGTGAAAGCCAATCATGTTCGTTCCCCGTCTTTCATTTCTTATATCCCCCCTGTCCCCACACTTTCCAAACACCGTGCCCACGTCAGAAAAAACGGCAATTGTCACGATCTGATATGAGAATGCCCTTGACACGTCTGATCCCCACGGAACGCAAACATTGATGCCACCGACAAAGATGTGCATATCATATACCGTGGTTTCGTTTTGGATTCTCGCAGATTAGAGGACCAGATGCGGCTTGCATGTTCAGGTCTCGCGTCCTCGTTCATCGAATTTCAAGATGAGTATGTTGCCTCGCGATCCGTGATCCCAACATTTGGCCCTTATGCCAACCCCAAAAAATTGTCTGGTGGTCCTGTTCTTGAATGTGACAACGATCGCGACACCCGACTGACATTCTGTAAAGACAGGCCGAGCATGACTGTAGGGGGGGCTGCGATGTGTGTGTGTGTGTGTGTGCTTGAGGTGTCTGCGAGCGATGGTGCCAGGAGATGCTGTTCCAGGTTTGGCAAGTGGAAACCGCGTAGTCTTTCTTTGGCCATGGCGCGCATGTGCCTGCGCAGGCATCTCGGAAGTCTTGGTGAAGGCGCCCGAAGGAATGCTTCGCATGTCGGTACCGGCGGCGGCAGATCCTGGCGACACACTGGTATTCACGAAAGGCCTCGCATCGGGATCATCGGGGACATACATGTGCCAAGTTCAAAGACGGCATGGCGAACTCGTTGCACCATCGACAATAGGTCCTGCAGAGGACCTGCGCAGGCATGTGGAGCTTCAACGGGCTCTGCAGGAAAGCTCGGGATATTGGAGTCACAAAATTGAGCGAGCAACTTCGAAAATGCTGGAAGTACCGGGCGTTGTCGTCACCGAACCAGTTGCTGAAGGAGAAGTCCTGGCCGTGTGTCCCAGTGCATTTCACATTTCCCCTGGTTCAGTCCGTCGCCTTGATCCAGACCTAGCAGCACTTGCGGCTGTGGTTGCACGTGAGGCGCCCGCTGACAACCAGGACATCGATGTTTTTTTGGTTGCCATGTTCTTGGCGGGCCTGTTGAATCGTTGCACACGGGATGTTGCCCCTGAGTTGGATGATGCTCGAGGAGTGATTCTGCATCTGTTCGCCAAGGTGCTCCTTTGCGAGACCTTTGAACACCATCCATACAGGCTAGCTGCAAACAGTCCAACAGGCTTTCGAAGCAGCCTCAGTCCTTCTTGTGAGGCAGACTTGATCGAGCGCTTGTCTTGGGGGGTCATGGAAAGATACCGTCTCATTGCCATGGAAAAGCGGCCTCAGTATTCTTCGGAGCAGTTCCTCCGTGCTTGGCTCATGGTCATCACACGTGCCTTTGAAATCGGCGGCACGCGCTCCACACTGGTACCCGGACTGGACTCCTTCAACCACGATTCCAGCCGAAAGTGTGCCAAGGTGCGACTGGACTCATCAGGCGACATGCGTCTGGAAGCTACGCGCTGCATCATGCCCGGTGAGGAGGTTTTTCTGGAGTACGGTGAGCTTTCGAACCCCATGCTCTATCGAACTTATGGATTCACGTTGCCAGCAGAGGCTGGCGGCTGACTTGGCTTGAAACCTTGAAACGCAAACCTAGAGTCGGCATGTTGCCGTCCCAGGTCCCTACTGTCCAGAGCTGCCTGATCTTGCCGAATCGACTCCAGCGAGCTCCTCGAACCTGTTGAATCGGCGATTTCATGGAGGGATTCTCGCTTTTATGGATATGCTTGCCTAAGAAGCCATTCTCTTCCGCGACGCTTGCACTAAGCCAGGGTATTGAGGAAGAACATGCATGCTTTCCTACAGAAGGGAAAGCGCAATTAAGATGGCCCTCTGTGTATCGGTGCATTAGCTGTAGGTGCGAGTCAGAATGCTGGAAGCACTGACACGACTGGACAGGCATGCTATCGGATGCGGTTTTGGCGAGAGTGTGTGAGGGTGCGAAAGTCTCCGGAATGTGCCAGGTTCTGAACCAGCACCTTCCGTCAAGCCACACTGGTCGATTGCTGCAGTTGGACTCCAGCCAATTGCTGCCGGAACTCCGAAGCCTCCTGCAGGCACCGCAGGCTGCAGCCGCTGTGCTTGTTAGACCTCCCGTCCACACGCAGGCGTGTGCCAGCCTTGGGAGCGGAGAGCCTGCTCAGTTTCTCCGCGAGCTGCTGGAATGCCACCTTGATGCTTGGCTTTTCAAGGGGGATGTCATACAACTACTGTACTTCTTTTTGCTGATACTGGGGACTCAGTTGAGCTTGCACCTATATAGTCGCAGTGCAGCCCGCAGAGACATAAGACATGAACCGAGCGCAATATCCCCTTGGACCAGGATTCCACGACAGCATGCGCTGAGGTTGAAAACGAGAGGCGCATCTTCAAATGAGGGGTAAATCGTACACACCTACACAGGACCGACACTATCCTCGACCCTGATGCATGACGCGAGTGAAGGAGCACTCATTCAATTTTGCGACCTGCAAACAAGTATACAAACATGAACGCAATCACACTCAAAATGCTAATTGGGAAAACAGACATTCTCCACTGTGCGCGACGGGCAACTCTTTGGACCTGTGACGGATGATGCCGCTATGAAGATGTGTAGACTGCTTAGTGTATCAGGTTGCGCTTGACTTGCCACTGGCGGAAGCAATGAAACTGAAGTCATCGTTCTTATGCTCGTCCATGGAGTTTCCCTTCAAGCCACCAGCACTTCGCAGAGAAGAGTCAGGGACCAGGTCAGTGGTTAGCGTCAGCATATGGATGGCAGCGGCACCACTCAAGAGCTGCATGAAGGTGATTCGTAATGCCATCGGCGCAAGGCAGCGCGGCCGGCCGGGCGCTACCATCTCGCAGCTGCACGCGCAGTCTGTTCGTGGTGCTTGGACCTCGGATGCCATATAATACCGCTTTTCTCGTCGCCAATCACCCGGGACCCACCCGCCCCCACCCGGGACCCGGAACCCGGAATCTGGGCCCAGACCCCTTGGCGCAAGAAAAACGATATCCCCCATGATACCAGGATGCCAGCTAGCCAGCACCTGAACCGTGGTGCTGCCGGTGTACCCGACAAGGCTTATGTCACCATTCCAGCCGGTGTTGCTGGGCGGCTTTTCACGTCGCTCAGTCCTGCGCATGCCGGCGGCGAAAGTGGCACCACATCCTCACTGCGCACGGCCCATGGCGAACCCTGAGCGGCACGAGCCGTGTTCTTGGGTACCGGGCCGGGCCGGGCCGTACTGACCCGCTTTTGGATCACTCCTGACCTAAACCTACTGGTGCAGTGCGAGCACAAGTGCTTGATTCAATGGATTTTGCAGCTTTCTGTTGCAGTGCGAGTATGCCGAACCAACAGTCCTGGCTTGGTTTTGCATTGGGAAGGGTTTCTGCTGCATCTTTTGCACTTTTTTCACTGAAGAGGATGAGTGCCCTTTCCGTATTTGTTGCAAGAAGCATAGAGCCAATGAGGACTGCTACAGAAACCAGACCGTGCAGGACACATCTGCGACAGATTTCCCCGAGAGCGGTTTGCGTGCTCTATCACAGAAGCTGTCAAGAGAAAAGTTCAACTTTCGAGAAACGGCCCATCGTTTGCAGCTGACATCGGCAGGAAGACTCAAGATGCTTCCTGGATGAGCTACGTGTGAAGCAAAGCGCTTTTGCTGCAATCAGATGTGCGTAGCACAGAGAGCTTTTCGAAGGAGCATTCGTGTAGCGCATGTTAAGTTTCGGCATGTCTCGCTCGGGTTCGTTTGGTTGGCACCAGGCGATTGCATTTTGGGATTTTGGGAGCAATCGACACGTCTATACAAGCCTAGACGCTCAAGACGTTGAACCCTGCCGCAGGCGAGCGTGGCTGCCTGGAGAAGTACCTAGAAGCTTTGGATAATCCTGCCAGCAGTCTGGGAAGCCAGCTCAGCGATGTGCTAAAAAGGGACGATTGCAGCCGTCGGGACTTCTTTCAGGGCTCTCATCTGAGATTTGTTTTTCATCTTCCAAGCGCATCCTTCTTTCTCGTCATCTTCATATCAGTGCCATCCTCGGATGTTGTATTGAACGGGACCAGAGCCTGGCAGGATGGAAGTGGCCAGGAACTGTGGCAAGATGGCTCCAGCTTCGAAGGACTGTTCAGGCCGATCGCACCTTGGCACCTGCTTGCGAGCAGTCAGGATGCTCACTTCTGGCCATATGCGAACAAAGCAACCCATGTGCTTGCAAGACCGTGAATCGACTTGCAGGCGAGGCAGACGCTATCACGGCAAGGTGCGATGAGTTGCCGAAACAAGTTGAGTTTCATGGAGCATATGAGTTCATGCTCCAGTGACAGATCTGGTGTTTGAGGCGTGGCTTGAGAGCAAGTTGTGCTTTCCAGGTACTTTGGGCAAGCGGCTGGTACGAGGGCACCTTCTTCAATAATCAGCTGCATGGTCAAGGCAGCCCCATAGCCTGAAACGACCGCGGCAGCAATGTCAACTTGCGTCTCTTCAGCATGTCTCCTTTGATGAAGTACATCGGGAGGAGGCGCAGACCTGCATAAGATGGTAGAATCAAGCTGTTTCCTGGGGTGGAGCAGCGAGGAACTTTATATCGACGCGACAAAGTGTACACCGGAAGCTGGGCCAGACCCCGAGCTTGCGAGACATGATGTTCGCCGGGCAATATGTTGGCAGGATTATGACCGTGATTGTGATCATGATTATGATGACGACCATGCTCATAATACATCGCGATTCTGATGACGATGGTCATCACCATCGTCCAGATCCGTATGCCTATCGTCTATCACCGTCATCGTTATCATGGTCACCACCACAACCAGCGACTCTGACTCCTGGTGCTTTTTTCTAGCAAGGCTGTCATGTAAGTCCATCGCGAGGTGCTAATCGTGCCTCAAACGTTTCCGAATGCAAAGTTGGTATTGTTCTTCAGATGGGTATACCAAGCACGATCAACTTGAAACACCTGCGGAGCATCGACCCCTCTGGACCATTTGGTCAGGTCCGTGATCGCATGGAGGGACACGGGCAGGAGACCTGGCCAGATGGGCGCTGCTACCGCGGCAGCTACCTGAAGGTCGCGTTTCTTTGTGATGGCTTGTGATTCTGAAGATTGGTGCTTGGCTACGCATTTGGTTCAGGATCACCGTCACGGGGTTGGATGTTTCAGGTGGCGGGCTGCTGAGTGTCCTGTTGCTTCTGTGATGTTTCTGAATTGGTTCGGATCGAGCAAAGTTGCCCACGCTAAGGCGCGATGGACGCCAGTACTGCGGTCAGCATAGCACTTGGAAGCTTTGCTTGTGCAATCTTGTGCAACCACCTAATTTCGTAAAAAATACATGTGTTCAGTGTGTTCTGCCCGGCCAATTTCCTGGCTGCTTAAGGTGGGCTGAAGGCTGCCAACACGGCAAGGGCCGTCACTCGACTTGGACTTGGGACAGGGTCTGCTTTTGCTGAGACTGCGACTGTGCCGCAGTCCCAAAGTGGCATTAGCTCGCATCGAAATTTCAATGTCAGTCCTACATGGTGTCAGATCAATGCTGAAGGTGCAAACTGTACCTTCGAGTTTAGGAAACGTTGGTGTCCCCAGGTGTGCTCATGCTCAGTGGCCGAGTTCGTGAAGGTGGCCCGTGAGCAAGTGAAGCGTTTATATCAGTTCCGATACTTATTGGTCACTTAATCTAATTCGTCCTCCGCAACGTTGAAACACCTTACCCGTAGTTGTTTCAGCCTGGACTCCGGCATGGGAGTTTGCACATCACGTTCAATGTCCTTGCGAGCTCCAATCAAGATTGGCGAATCCGAGCAGTGGCGGAGGCGAATGGTGCAGTGGAAAGCGTGCCCGATGGTTGTCTGAGGCAGGAGTCATGCTTCAAGCTGCTTCAATTCTTCGTCTTCAATCTTGCATTGTCACTTTTTGCAAAGCTTCTCGAGGTCCCCCAGGCGTTCATTTCGCACGGTTCTACAGCTTTGATAAGGGATCGACGTTTGTTTGGGTAACGACTGCGAAGACCAACGCGTCGTGTTGGTGATTCTTTCGTCAAAGCCTCACCGGCACAGGTTCGCAGGGCTTTCCTTCGAAACACCTCGAATCTTCTCAATATTTCAGTGGTTCATGTCACGGCTGTAGCTTGTGGCTTCCGCTATCCTTGCATTTTTGATGCTTCATGGTGACATCATCTTCAAGTCTGGCCTCTTCGCTGCACTACGCTTTCACAGCTACACATGCTTGTCAATGGCTTGGCTTAAAACGCCCATCCACAGATGCAGCACGATCCGACATCTTATTCACTGGTGAACAAGATACCTTCCGCGAAGGCAAGAGCAGTTCAGCCCGAAGATGGATTCTTGGAGTGGCCGTTCACAACTGACCGGAAGCTCTGAGTCTCTAGACTTGGCTTCGCAGGAGATATATCCAGCATACGCTTCTTTGTGCTTCTTGAAACATACGGGCTCTTAGTTGGATGTGCCAACACGGCAGCATCCTCTGGCCGGCAAAGATACGGCTGAAGTTTATCGTCACTGCGAAACACTTAGCTCGGACATACGCAGCTACGTCGCGTCGGCAGCAAGCGAAGCCAGGAGGTGGCAGCGAGAGCTTCCACAGGAACAGGCACTCGTAAAAGGCGTGACTGGTGCCACACTGCGCGCGGCCTACCCACCACACCATCCCGCCCCGCCCCACCCCGCCCTGCCCCGTCGTATGCAGGTCCGACGAGGTGACAAGGCCCCACATCGGATTGAACTGAAACTGAATTGCCTGGGTGAGTTGAACAAAGTGAGGCCAACTTGAGCTTTATCAATTTGTAGAAACTGGCACATCGAGTCAACAGTCATAGCAGGCGGATGTGAAAGAAGCTCTGAGAGACGATTCCTCTGCAGCCTCTCGCTTTTTTGGTATTCTGAGTGCACGAGTAGTGCTTGAAGATGCCTGATCAAAACCGTGCGTGCCTTCCAGGAATGTCGATGTGCAATGATGCACATGCATCTCTTAAAGTATAATCATAAGCACATGTATCGAGCAAGAGCTCTTGGGCGAAGCGTCGAGAAGCCGGGGGAGAGCGTCAGGGTGAGAGGAGCTGCCAGAGCAGCCGGGCTGAGAGGGGCCATGGCAAGCCCAAAGAGACATCAGAGGTTCCGGCATTGCGACAAGGGCCCGGGAGCCGTGGCCATTTGGCTCGTAAGGGCTGTGCCCGTCGTCTGCAGTCGCTTTGCTTTGGAGATCTTGGCCAGATGCTCGGGCTTTGTCTACAGCAGTCATGAGCACTCGTATGACTTCCCCCACAGGCCAACGGAAATACGTTGATGACAGGGCTTCCTGGTTGTGGTTTCAAGTGGCATGTGCTGTCGTTTTCGCGACGGCAGTCGCGCTGAGTTTCAGGTCTCTGTGGCGAGCGTTGCGAAGATGTATCTGGCTGAGCAAAGGGTCAAGAGGTAAGGTCATTCTACAATGCTTCATCCATATGCCATAGACTCTTGGTGCTGCACACACCGTTTCTTGAGTTTTTGGGCGTGCTATTGGGATGTCGGTTGTTGTTGAGGTTTCGAAACAGCGACAGCAAGAAGTAGCTTGCAGGCTATCGTCGTAGCGATTGGACGATGGTGCTGTGCTTCAAAAGAATTTCAGACAAGGAACCGTCATAGCATACCCCGTGTCCCATGATATGATATCATAATCATCCTCTCGGCAGGCAAGGAACCTGGCACGCTCATGCAACGGATCATGCAGGCATCCTGTACTGACGTGTATTGACCCACAAAATCTCGCAGAGACTGTCGTCCTTGGTTCTGTGAACAGGGGGTGGCAGTTGGTTGGCGGTTGGCTTGCTCGCTCTGCCTTCTTCTCGGCCGAGGATGGCGCGCGTGCTGTCGCGCGCCGTGCCTGTGACCCGACCAATGGCACGCCCGCTTCAGCTCACGGGGCGACAGTTTGATGTGATTTGGATCTCACTTAAGAGATCTTCAGAGCTTTCCCATCCGTAATGAAGTTGCGATGCTTTGTTCAGCTGTTCGAGGCAATGGTCAGTCGGTTGCAGGCGCGATGCTGCCGTCTCAGGAGGGGAGAAGCTACTGGTAGCCGTCGTAGCACGCGGAGAGGAGTCGATCTTCATGAGTATTCCAAGTGTCCCAAGGCTTTGCCCATCCTGTCAACTACCACCTGATGCGAGACAGCGATGATATGGCTCCTGCATCCGAGATGCCCATGTGCGCTTGCGCCGTCCAGTGTACGCTGAAGGTCACAAGGATCAAGCATTGTCAACTGCTTACGAGAGGTACAAGAATGAGTTCATCCTCAAGACTCCCAAAGAGCATGCAGAGGACAGCAGCACACATCCACACGCGCCACCTCACCACGCACCACCATGCATCACCACGCGCATCCATGCACCACCGCTTGCCTTGGAGTATCAAAAACACCTCTCCGCAAGATGTATTGTTCATGCCGCCTGCACATGACCTTCAGGACATGGCAAAGGCTGTGAAGCCGCCGGTTGTCCACGACACGGCAGATCTGGTTCCCACATCAGGCTGCCGCGATGAACTCCGAATCCAGATTCGAGTAGGATGATGCATCTGGTAGTTGGTGCAGTAGACTGTGCATGATGTCACTCAGCCCCTGAACGTTTGCTGGAGGTGATCCTCATCAGTTTTATGGCCAGGGCGAGTACACTTACTGGCACTACGACACTGTCCGCGAGCCAACGTTCCCTCGGAAGACGGGCCCCCGGCCGTCTTTGTCCATGCGGGGCTCTGGAGACTTCCCCATATTCTGCTTCTCACTTCCCACCGTGCCCCGGGTCGCGCCATGCCGAGTGCAATCTGAGGCCTGACATCGCCAAGGGAGAGCTTGCAGCCGGTGCCACTGCACACCCAGCTGCGATTGTCTGCCAACCCCGGCCCATCCAACGGCCCGAATGCTTATGGAGTCGTAATCATGACCTACTTCAACTTTGTTAAATTGCCGGCAGCAGGCTCAGTAACAATCTGCAACGTACCCGTAGTTTGCAAGTCTGCGGTTGGTCATAGCGAGCACCGCTGCACGTTTTTTCTGCCGCACGCTCCTAGGGCCGACCCAGTCAGCAATGAGATTCTACCGATCATGACAGCCCCTTCCTTGCTAAAATGAATCGGTTCGGTGGTGTAAGTCTGCTGCATGTGCAGCCAGGTCACTCGCACAGACGTCTGGCACGATCCGAAGGTGCCAAAGCCATGTTTAAGCTGCTCCGGACCTCGAAGCTTCAAGGCATCAGGGTCATGATCGCGGTGTGTTGATGTGTTGGCAGGAGCCTGCCATCATCTCTGTTGCCAAGTTCTCACCTGAGAATTATCGGCCTGTCGGGGACTTAAGATTTGTCACGCAGACACAGGGCGCTGAGCTCCCGTGGAAGGGTGGGCGACGTAGCCAGTACGAGGCTGCCTCGACAGCATAAGCATTCCGCAGTCGTCGCCATGTGGCTGAATTTGCTTGCCGATTGACTGAAGCATCGCATCCGACAGCGATTTGTGAGGTGGGCTTTGCAGAGAACGCGCCTATGCCCACCAGCACTGTCCCAGAGGGGGCCCTGGACTTCCGGGCAGGGGCCTCAGAGCTTGGCATGTCAGTGTGCAGGGTACGACAAAGTCCGGCTCTTGTATACCTTGACGATTGGGTGCTGCCTCAGCAACGCTCGCCAAGCTGCGCAACATAAGCCCAAGAAGCCTGATCTTCACAACTTGCGAAATCCTGTGAAGCCTGTGGACCGAACTCCGCAGACTGCGTGCGTTGCACAGTGGCACACCTGGGCTCTCCAGCGCGTGAGGTCTCTGGATACTCATATTTTCCCATTTCGTGGCAGTATGAGGTCGTCATTTAGGTTTTAGGTGCTTTCAGCACATTCAGGCAGGTGATTTTACAGGGTGAGGCCCTTACCTGTTATGCAAGTTTTCTGTTTTCCGGTAGCGCTCCGCATCCTTCCCTGTTACTACACAGTTTCTGTTTCATTCAGACTCAGAGGTTTCTGTTACGATCTGTTACGCGTGTCACCCTGCTCAGCGGTCCAGCAGTCCGGTTACTACGTCGACATGCAGTTGCGTCGCAGACGCGAATGTTGCTACAGGGAGTGCTACTCGTCAGGCAGAGGTGGCGGGTTCTTGAACAGCGGAACAGCGAGTGTCGAAGCCTCTGGAATTCCATTTTGCCCGGTGGGGGCTGTAACAAGTCAACAGACGGGCCGAGACCATCAATTTGTCGGTTGTGGAAGGACAGGTCTCACATGCGGCACTGCCCCATTTCTTGCCTGTCGTACAAGGCCAACCGTCTCCCGATCGGGCATGCCGATCGCCGACCCTTCATCTACTTCATGACGGCGCCGGGGTCTGAGATGCACCAGTCCGCAGCAGGTGCAGAGTTCAACGGCGCAGACACCGTTTGTCGAGTCATGGGAGAATTGAAGAGATTGGGAGAGGAGAGAGGGCATGGTTCTCGGGACAGAAAGACACTATTGGCTGCCTTGCTTCAGGGGTGGTGCCGTGATTGCCGCCTCCATGATCCGCGCCATGGCTGGAAAGCTGATCTTGACACTCTGGCCCGCCAAGGACTCATACCTGTAAAGCCGCAAGTGGCTGGTGCTGTAGCATTCTGTAGCCCCACCCCACTTGCACCAGAGATGTCGATCCATGTACACTAGTTGAGTTTTTTGCATCGGGCTACCTCAGTCTGACAATATGTAATGTTTTGAGGATATCCCACATTCGTGAAGGAGAGCAGGCCTCATGAAACCATACAAGACGGCAACTAGACACAGGACGTGTTCGCAGCTGGCATTGTGGAGGTCCCTGCCCGTTCTGTGGTCTTTCTCCTCAAATCGGTCAGGGGTGCAATGGGGTGCATACCTCGGTGCCACTGAGCATAGAGGAGATTCGACATGACCTCGCGAGTGATAGTGAGTTATCCGAAGACGCGAAGAGCTTGCACGGAGCGGTCATCAACTCATATCGGGTAGCAGGTCGATCTGCGCCCTATCCGGGTTGGACAGAATTTCACCGCGTCAGCCTGAGAACATCTCGGGATGTTTCCGCGTGAAACAGTCTGGTTTCACTTAGTCATGTCTAACACTCACAGCTTTGTTTAGCAAAGCATCACTTGGAGTAACTCGTCTGCGCCGACTAGTAGAGTGGGTAGAGATAGAGCGCAAGACTGAGAGGATGGCAGAGTTTCAAGGTCAAGTGGCGCGAGAAGCCGGTCTTCATCCGCAAGCGCACTGCAGAGCAGATCTCGTCTGCCAAGAAGGACATGTAGATCACTGTAGATCCATCAGCGGGGCGAGCATATGATGGGCATCACAGGGGCATGGTAGCCTCGTGCGGGATACTCAGACAAGTAGTCCAGTTCAGGACGGTCGGTGCATGAACCCAATGCCCAAGTCAGCCCAAGCTTCTGCCAAAGGTGTAGAGTCTACAGCATGAGAGTTGACATCATGTTTCAACGGGTTCCGATGCAGTAGGACGACGTTGTTGCGCCTTCAATGCGCGAGCCAGCGACGGATGCCGAGCGATGCAAGAGGTGCGAACTGCAGAAAAGCGATGTGCAACCGCCTGCTCGGACAGAACAAGAGCGCGTACGATTTCTCCAGAGGCTTTTAGCACAGACAAACTGCAGACAATCCGACAGTGGGCACAGGCCGGAGTGGTTGATTTGCATTGGTGCCGCAGCCCAAGGAGCGTGTCATGTCGAAAGGAGTTTCTTCGTGAACAGAGGCAGCTCATTTATTGTGTTGGATGGCATTCTTCAGACTTCTGATCGGAAACCCCAAGCTGACCGCATTCTCCTCAAGGTGTGCACACACTTGGGGTGCATCCCCCAGCCCGATGCTGGCAATTACGGTGGTGAACTTGGTTGCAGTGCAATTGTCACCAGACAACTCGGGCCCGCCTTTGAGCATAACACTTTCTCGCTACAGGGTTCAAGAATTCTCTTTTCAGGCTCGTGGCTTCAGAATTGCAGATCTGGGAGCAACGGAACGTTCGTGCAAAGGAAAGGAACGTCAGAGCTGCAGCTGAGCTGGGGCACAGGTGGCTACTTCTGTCCCTGCCACGGCTCCCACTACGACTACGCCGGTCGAATTCGTCAGGCTTCTGCACAGCCTCTTCTTGGAAACAGGTTCGTGCTTGTTCCAAGCATTTTAGTCTGCCGTCTGCTGGATCGCCATACTTGGCGGGGTTGGTGCTTGACACAATGCTTGCATCTTTGACCTGTCTGTCACTGACTGGCCAATTGGGCAGGGCCCCGCGCCAAAGAACCTGGAAGTGCCACCGTGCGGGGCTTGGGCTGTCTTTCTGGGGTTGTGCTACGGGGTTTCTGCCGAGCGCAGCGCAACCCTGAATTAAGCTCCAAAATTCTCCCCGACATCAGGGGCATATGCTGCGAAATTTCGGAGTTGTGAGAGCCCTTGCCCATCTTGCCAGTTTTCTGAGAGGTTTCTTGCAAATTGTCGAAGTTTGGAATTTGTTTTTGTTGTTCTTGGATTTCAACTTTAGTTTGTGGCATTGTCTGGAGCGGATTCAAGAAGTGTTGTCAACAATCTGTAACAAACTTGTCATTCGCGTGTGGCAATAATGTGTGACGTACCGCCTGTAGGGCTTGGCGCGGTGAATAAAACACAAGTGATCTGGAAACAGCCTGATAATCATCTCTTTCAGAGCTGTTCCAAGTCGGACTTGCAGTTGTTTGACAGATAGTTTTGCAGCTTCTCGTACAGGGACGGTTGTGACAGCTTTTTCACAGATTGATTTGATACGATGAATCCCGAGCAGGAATCCTAGTGAAATCGCCCAGGAAAGTAGATACTTTTAATATTGTCATTGGAAAGGATGGGATTCCTGGCAAGTAAATTTCATGCGGGAAAGGTCAAGGATTCTTTGCAGGAGCCTGTGGGAACGAGGGGGAATCCGAATTATGTGGAGACTTTGTGTTTTTCCCCAAACAGGTACGGTTTGGGGTTCTCTCCTCAGAAAATGGTGGGCCGCAGTGGGTTGGATGGCAGGGCCGCGGTAAACTGGCTGGGCTCCCATTCACTTCCCTTCATGTTTCCTTTCTGGGCTCCTGGGTTGGACGGGTGGGATGCGGCGAAGGACCTGGGCTCCCCTTCACTTCCCTTCATGTTTCCTTTCTGGGCTCCTGGGTTGGACGCGGCGAAGGACCTGGGCTCCCATTCACTTCCCTTCATGTTTCCTTTCTGGGCTCCTGGGTTGGACGGGTGGGCCGCGGCGAAGGACCTGGGCTCCCCTTCACTTCCCTTCATGTTTCCTTTCTGGGCTCCTGGGTTGGACGCGGCGAAGGACCTGGGCTCCCCTTCACTTCCCTTCATGTTTCCTTTCTGGGCTCCTGGGTTGGACGGGTGGGATGCGGCGAAGGACCTGGGCTCCCCTTCGGCGAAGGACCTGGGCTCCCATTCACCTGGGTTGGACGGGTGGGCCGCGGCGAAGGACCTGGGCTCCCATTCACTTCCCTTCATGTTTCCTTTCTGGGCTCCTGGGTTGGACGCGGCGAAGGACCTGGGCTCCCATTCACTTCCCTTCATGTTTCCTTTCTGGGCTGCTGGGTTGGACGGGTGGGATGCGGCGAAGGACCTGGGCTCCCCTTCACTTCCCTTCATGTTTCCTTTCTGGGCTCCTGGGTTGGACGCGGCGAAGGACCTGGGCTCCCATTCACTTCCCTTCATGTTTCCTTTCTGGGCTCCTGGGTTGGACGGGTGGGATGCGGCGAAGGACCTGGGCTCCCCTTCATTCCCTTCATGTTTCCTTTCTGGGCTCCTGGGTTGGACGCGGCGAAGGACCTGGGCTCCCCTTCACTTCCCTTCATGTTTCCTTTCTGGGCTCCTGGGTTGGACGCAGCGAAGGACCTGGGCTCCCATTCACTTCCCTTCATGTTTCCTTTCTGGGCTCCTGGGTTGGACGGGTGGGCCGCGGCGAAGGACCTGGGCTCCCCTTCACTTCCCTTCATGTTTCCTTTCTGGGCTGCTGGGTTGGGCCGCGGCGAAGGACCTGGGCTTTGTTGGGCTCCCTTCATGTTTCCTTTCTGGGCTCCTGGGTTGGAGCGGCGAAGGACCTGGGCTCCCATTCACTTCCCTTCATGTTTCCTTTCTGGGCTCCTGGGTTGGACGGGTGGGCCGCGGCAAAGAACCTGGGCTATCATTGGGTTCCGTTCATGTTTCCTTCCTGCGCTCCTGGTTTGGACGGGTGGGCTGCGGCAAAGGACCTGGGCTCCCATTGGGCTCCCTCATGTTTCCTTTCTGGGCTGCTGGGTTGGACCTGGACTCCCGTTGGGCTCCCTTCATGTTTCCTTGGGCCGCGGCAATCCCGTTTACCTCCCTTCATATTTCCGTTCTGGGCTCCTGGATTGGATGGGTGGGCCGCGGCAAAGGGATTGGGCTGCCAATTGGGTTTCCTTCCTGTTTCCTTTCTGGGCTCCTGGGTTGGACGGGCGGGCCGCAGCAGAGGGCCTGAGCTCCCGCTGGGTTCCCTTAATGTTTCCTTTCTGGGCGCCTGGTCTGCCACAAACGTCTACAGCAGAGGCCAGGTATCCGGTATCCTGTCTTGCAAGGCAGCAATGCTGTAACAGTTGTGTGTTTTTCCGTGTGTGGTTTCTGCTGCAGCAAGATCCTGTGGACGACGTTCTTCGTTCGGTTTGCGGAAAAATTGTCAATGGTTCCGTGTAAGGAAAATATTTGTTTGCGATGTAAGCCGACTCCTTCGCTTTTCTTTTTGCCCTGTTTGTGCGGCAAAGTTGCCCGTCTTTCCCGTGCGACAGCCGACCGATCCGTATACTAATCTCGTGTGTGCTTCTTCCACGAACGTCTACAGCAGAGGCAAGGTATCCTGTCTTGCAAAACGGCAAGGTTGTGACACTTGCGGGAAACTTGCCGCAAGATCCTGTGGACGACGCTCTTCGTTCGGTCTGCGGAAAAATCGTCAATGGTTCCGTGCAAAAGAAGATTTTCGTTCGCCTTAGAAGCCGACAAACCTCTTCGCACTTCTTTTTGCCAAGTTTGCACGGCAAAGTTCCCAATTTTTTCCGTCCGACAGGCGACCGATCCGTATACCAACCTGCTTCGTGCTTCTCCCGCAATCATCTACAGCAAAAGTCAGGTATCCTGTTGTGCAATATTGTAACAGTTAGTTGGTCGAATACGGCGTTCCCTGTCCTTGTATAGGTAACATGTCTGACTGTGTAGCTTAATGTGCCAATGACATGATCTTTGGCTCAAGTAATGAGAAAAGAGGTACGCTTGCAGCTTGTGTTCCTCTTCGGGCTGGGTTTCCCTTTTGGGTTTCCTTGCCTTGCCCGGCGATCCTACCCCAATATCGTTGTGCTGTTGTTGAGGGTCGGATTAACTCAGTTGCGGGAAAGTTGTGTGTGTGTGTGTGTGAACCTCCCTAGCACATGGGGGCAGAGGGTCACTCCTACACAGTTGCAGGGGGTTGCAGGGGGGCGGAGGAGGTGTGGAGGGGCTCCGTCCAACGAAGCTCCCCTCCACACCTCAGGAAAAACGTACCTGCTTTTGCCTGCGCCTGGGCCCCGTCGTGGGCAGCTGGCGGGGCACTCATTTTCGTTCATCTTTCATCTCATTTCGTGCTACGCCATTCTTTTGTGTCTGGCGTAGCAAGGGGCTTAAACCTTACCCCTGACGGATCATTTCATTCCTTTTTGTTTTCGTATGCCATTCCTTCGGTCTGGCATACTTGGCACCAAAACCTTCATTGCATTCACGTACAACATGTGCAACATGTCTCTATCTCTTTGCCTCTCTGCACTCGTGCTCTTGGCCGAATCCATCAGTGTGTGTGTGTGTGTGGGTGTGTGTGTTTTCTCCGTGCGTGGTTTCTGCGGAAGTAAGAGCCTGTGGACGAAGTTCTTCGTTCGGTCTGTGGAAAAATTCGTCAGTGGTTCCGTGTAAAGAACGATATTTATTTTGCCTTGTAAGCCGACACACCCCTGTGCGGTCTTCTTTTCGCCAAGTTTGCGCGGCAAAGTTCCCATTTGTCCTCGTGCGACAGCCAACCGATCCGTAAACCAACCTCTTTTGTGCTTCTTCCACAAACGTCTACAGCAGAGGCCAGGTATCCGGTATCTTGTCTTGCAGGGCAGCAATGTTGTAACAGTTGCGGGAAGGTTGTGTGTTCTTCCGTGCGTGGTTTCTGCGGCAGCAAGATCCTTTGGACGACGTTCTTCGTTTTGTCTGCGGAAAACATCGTCAATGGTTCCGTGTAAACGGGAACTTGTGTGTTTCTCCGTGCGTGGTTTCTGCGGCAGCAAGATCCTGTGGACGACGTTCTTCGTTTTGTCGGCGGAAAAAACCGTCAACGGTTTCGTGTAAAGAAAGATTGTTAAGCCGACAAGCCGCTTTGCGTTTCTTTTTGCCAATTTCGCGTGGCAAAGTTCCTACCTTTTCCCGTGCGGCAGCCAACAGATCTGTATACCAACTTGTTTGGCGCTTCTTCCATAGACGTCTACAGCAGAGGCCACATATCCTGTCTCGCAAAACGGCAATGTTGCGGTTTATTTTCCGTGCGTGGTTGCTGCGGCAGCAAGATCCTGTGGATCTTCGTTCGGTCTGCGGACAAAGCCGTGAATGGTTCCGTGTAAAGAAAGATTTGTGTTTGCGATGTAAGCCGACAAACCCCTTTGCGTTTCTTTTTGCCAAGTTCGCGCGGCAAAGTTCCTACCTTTTCCCGTGTGGCAGCCAACCGATCTGTATACCAACTTGTTTTGCGCTTCTTCCACAGACGTCTACAGCAGAGGCCACATATCCTGTCTCGAAAAAAACGGCAATGTTGCGTGTTTTTTCCGTGCGTGGTTGCTGCGGCAGCAAGATCCTGTGGATCCCCGTTCGGTCTGCGGACAAAATCGTGAATCGTTCCGTGTAAAGAAAGATTTTGTTTGCGATGTAAGCCGACAAACCCATTTGCTCTTCTTTTGGCCATAATTGCGCCGCAAAGTTCACGTTTTTTTCCCGTGCGACAGCCAACCGAGCCGTATACCAACCTGTTTTGCGCTTCTTCCACAAACGTTTACGGCAGAGGCCACATATCCTGTCTTGCAAAATTGCAAAACGGCAATGTTGTGTGTGTTTTTTTCCGTGCGTGGTTTCTGCGGTAGCTAGATTCTATGGATCTTCGTTCGGTCTGCGGAAAAAGTCGTGAATGGTGTTTTGTGTTGTGAGCCGACGCACCCCTGTGCGCGCTTCTTTTCGCCAAAATTGCGCGGCAAAGTTCACACTTTTTTCCCGTGCGACAGCCAACCGATCCATGTAGCAACCTCTGTTGCGCTCCTTCCTCCAATGTCTACAGCGGAGGCAAGGAATCCACGCACTGCTTCTTCTTTTACT